TACAGAATATCGTTGTGCTGTATTAATTGGAATTGTGTTTAGAGTAACTGGTTTTATTGAAATACCATCAACTTCAATGATCGTGAGTGGATGTTCATCAATCGAAAATATAATATGAGCTGCTGAACTTATGCTTATTATTCTAAATCTATATTTTTTACCCCTTTTAATTTTGTAGGTAGCAATTCCATTATTTGGGTTACATTTCGAACCTTTAGGGACCGTACTACAATTATATTGTCCTTTACCACTAATTTCACCAGAATCAGGCATAGGATCAACTCCTTTAAATCCATGAGCAAGAATCATTGAAATCATAGTATCTGATGTATTATGGTACCAATCTGATATTGTTATTACGTATTCGAAATCATATTTGTTATGGTGTGGATCTTTAGGATCGAAAATTATTAATGGGCCTTTTAATCCATCGATAAGTTGACCCGCAGTGTGGGAATGATACCAATAAGTTCCTTGATAAAATATTGAATAACAAAATTTTTAATCAAAAAGAGTTTTTTTTTCGAAAATAATTAATTTTTAAAAAAAACTTACCAGTTTGATTAACTGTGAAATTATATAGTAAAGAATAATCATTGGGAATCGGACATTGTACCATTCCCGGAGGTCCATCGTAAAGATTTGAGCCTCTTTGTTCTATACCGTGCCAATGAACTTTAGAAAAATTGATGTATGTATTAAAATTAGCTTATACATTAAAAATTGAACGGTCAACAAATAATCAATAAATAATTTAATTTACTCGAAGTTGGTTCTCCCAAATTGTTGGTTACATTAATGAGAAGTCTGTCACCATAGTTTGCTTGAATTATTGGACCTGGGTATTGTCCATTAATAGTCCAACTAAATTTCACGAAAATAAATCAAATGGAAAGAAAAGAAATAAAAAAATTTTTTTAAGCATAGCAGGTAACAAATTACGAATCTTACACAGGGCGCATATATCCATCAGGTGCCAACTCTTTGATTATTAAATTTAAATTGTAACATCGCGTCACTGGGGCATCAGTCGGTTGTAAAGGTTTAAGAGGTTCAAAAATATTTGAATGAAATTCGTCGTATTTTTGAGCTAAGACGTTTAAGATAAATAATACGAGAAATATTAATATTAATTTAATGATCATTTTCGTTTTAAATTCTACGAAGTTAATTTATAAATGAGAGAATGGAATTTCTGTCTCTTTTATAATTTTTAAATGCAAATTTTCTATCCGATGAGTAAATTTAGCCAGCCATTCATTCATACTATGTACATTCATATTCTGTT